TGCAATCTAGAGAGAAAGAGAGAGAGAGAGAGAGAAAGAGAGAGAGAGAAAGAGAAAGAGGGAGAAAGGGAAAGAGAAAAAGAAAGCAAGGGCGAGAGGGTTACTATTTTCATATTTTCCAGTCTGCTTTTCTCGGTTGACACAGAATAAATTACAATTGTATTCTTTACTTCAACATGGATATTATTTATATTTCTATATACAATGAGATTAAGATTTGCACACGAAAAAAAAATCGCAATGTGTTTATTGGTTATGCGTTTATCTGTTTTAAAATCACAATGGTTGGGCTTTTGGATTCATCTACAGTCACACACAAGCACACAAAACACACGAAAAAAACACACACACACACACACACACACACACACACACACATATATATATATATATATATATATATATATATATATATATATATATATATATATATTATAAATTAATTGATTTAAAATATGTTTTTTCCGCTATACAGTTCTAACCATGTTTCAAAAAATAGAAGCTAAAAGCCCTGAATTTAATTTTGCAATTAAATTAAAAGAATTAGTTCCATTTCATCCTCAAGCGAATTTTGGAGTAACTTTTAAAAATTACTGGGTTTTAAAGATACAGCTAAATTCACGTTTCCATGGTTACAGAATATTCTACTTCAATTGGACAAGGGGTGTCTGGGTTTTCCTTATGGCAGTATCATATATATATATATATATATATATGAGTATGTTGGGGTGCCGGGTGTAGATATAAGTAGCCGTTGACAGAAATTTGATAGATAAAAAAATAATAATATTTATAATAACGGTAATATTTATTGCTTATTGCTAGACTTTTTGACCAAAATGGAAGCATGATTAGAAATCATGGATACACCTGTGTCCTCACTCAACGAGTTAAGAAAATTTGAAGTAGGATTTTTTCCTGGGAAATGTGTTAGAATTATTCAAGAGACCTAATTGTTTTGTGCTAGAAGCCTTTATTTACTATTATATATATATATATATATATATATATATATATATATATATATATATATATATATAATGCGTGTGCTTTTGCTTCTGTGTGTATACATCGTTGCGTAAAATTAAGTGAACACTATGAAATAATAAAAAGAAAGTGTTCGTTTTCTCCAGATAATCAACAAAATTTAATTAAACTATATATTCATAAGGAAAACCATTTTAAACGTATTACAATATTTTTTTTAAAAGTTTAAAGACACGGAATAAAAGTATTAATTAAAAATTAAGATGTGCAAAAGTATAAGTACATTGAAGGTTACACTTTCTGTTTTATATGATTGCCACTCCAAGTAATTGTTTACCCTCGTGTTAAAATCAAAATGGCATGAGGTCATTTTTTTGTAAGCTGTGTTTACTGCAGACAACCAATATAACTCATTGTGTATGCATAAGAGTGTAGTCAGTGATAAAATTTTAAAAAGAAAATATGCCAAGATCACAAGAACCTCCTGATGTTTTAAAACATCGCATAGTTGATGCCTGTAGTTTGTGGAGAAGACTACGAGAACATATCAAAAGGTGGTGTAGTTCACGTCTACACAGTGAGACAGATTATTTATAAATGGAAATTGATATGGCAGTATCGAAATCAAGAAATAGTGGTCTGCGAAGAATAACTGCCAGAGCAATTAGACATCAAGTAGGACAACCCCAAGAGAATACTGCTTTGGTCTCTGAGGTTTTTCAAGTCTCCATTGCCAATGTTGGAATCAATGTGTATACGTCTGAAGTCTGAAATGAAATCTGAATGATACCCGTCTTCTGGGGAGAATGCCTCAAAAGCCACTGCTAATGAAAAGTCACAAACAAGCTCGTGTCAACTATGCCAAAGCACATATTAATAAGGTAGAAAGGATCTGGCAAAAGGTTTTATGGACGGATGAAACCAAACAAGAGCTTTCTGGGGGGTACGATATGCGGTATGTCTGACAAGATCCAATACGTCACTTGAAGCGAAGAATTTAGTACTAAATCAGAAAATTGGCGGCAGTATTATGATTTGCTGGAGTAGCAAAAATAATCTCCATTGACGGCATATTGGACACTTAAAGAACTAAGCCATTTTTGAACGAAAGTGTCTTGCCCTCGGTTCGAAAGTTGGGCTTAGGTCGGGTCTGGATCTTCAAACAAGACAATGATCCGAATTATCAAAGCAAATCCACAATTTAATGTGATTGAAAAAAATAATATGAAGTCTTGGAATGTCCTAGTCAAAATCCTGATCCAAACCCAATTGAGAATCCGTGGTTCAAGTTAAAATTGGCAATACATGAAAGAAGCCCAGGTAATATCGAACAATTTTGGGAGTTTGGGCCATAAGAAAGGTCAGAAATTGACGCTCACTACTACCAGAATCTTCTGGAAAATTCCAAGTCTGTTCTAATCAATATAATTTCTGTCTGAAATATATCGAAGTATTTTATTTATCGGGTATAGCAAATTTAGTCCTTTAGCTTTTATTTCAAGCTAAACTGAATGTTTCGGGAAAGATATTCATTTTTATAAATTCATTTTAATCCTTACGCATACACAATTCTTAGAGATACCTATTCAATATATAGTTTAATTAAGAATTGTTAATTACCTGAAAAATAAGAGGTTCAATTACATTTTGAATTATATTATATATATATATATATATATATATATATATATATATATATATATATATATAGATAGATAGATAGATAGATAGATATAGATAGATAGATTTTTTGTGTCTTCGTGTGTAGAGAAAGACAGGCAAACAAAATTACCATATGGGAAAATGGATTGTTCTCTTATGCAACTATATAATATTGATAGGCATTTAAAACTTGAAACTGCCACTCTACCATATTTATATTTCGGTCTGACTCTGATTTTGTGGGCGTGGTGAGTCCTTAATCCATAGTTTTTTGCTATTGTCTTCGTATGAGGAACACAAGAAAAAATACCACTATTCTGGAACCTTAACAAAAGCAACAACTGGTTAGGCTATAAGAGGTAAGCGACTGGTTTAAATGGTGAAATAAAATAATCGCAATTAGTCATTTTCCCTCAAAACATTTATAGAGCAACTGTGTGACATTTCCACTTTATCACTTGATGAGCGATGAACTGTAAATTTGGGTGAAATAACCTTTCAGAAGTCAAACCAAATATATATATATATATATATATATATATATATATATATTATTGTTTGAATATTCGGTCTATATTATATAATTAGAAACACGTATGAACGGGCTCCGTTATGATTAATTTAAAAATTAACTGTTAACGTTATTATGTTTTATTTAAGGGAGGAAAATGTAATTTAAATAATTGGAATATTTTTCTTCGAAATTAGATGATGTGAATAATTTCTAGATTTTTTTAAAAATTTCATGATGGATTATACGTGTATTGTCAATTAATATTTCCCTAAATCGGGAATGTGAACAGGAATGTTTGTTCAAGGGCTGTGCAATAGAACTTCAATCCGATATATGTAACGTAAATTACCTAGATAATACTGTGGCGGTGAAACGAATATCTATCTATCTATCTATCTATCTATCTATCTATCTCTCTGATCCTGAAAAATTTATTTCAGTTGTGCTCTCTGGGAAGGAATAGCGGGTTTGTAAACAGTGTCTATTACGGCTAATAATGCAAGACTTTTCAGTAAATCGAATCGAGTTCTCTCAATCACTGTCTGTTTATCTAAAAATAAATAGGCTTAAATCCACATTCAACCCTGCCGTGCGCCAACGGCTTAGTGGTAGAATCATGGTATATATATATATATATATATATATATATATATATATATATATATATATATATATATATATGTTAGTGATACTCTCTTCTAAAAGACATTAAAATTTATACGCATAATTGGTCATTTGCAAAAGATTAGTTGACTGAGAAGAGTTATTGCGCATGATGAAGTTGGTTGTATTAAATTTAGTATAGTATATTAGATTTATTTTTTACTGGGATCATTGGGAGATAAATTATTACTTATGAAGTGTTTTTTCGTGGTTGCATAAATGTCAATAACATCAATATTTTAAAAGAAACTTAAACTGGAATTAAAAATGCATCTATATAAATTTAAATTACCTTTCTTAGATACGGCATAAGAGCGTTAACAGTTAATTTTAAAATTAATAATTACGGAGCGCGTTCATACGTGTTTAAAATTATAACATCGCGTGTTTCATGCGCATTCACAAAATAATCCACATCTATTAATTAATTTAAATTTTGTCTTATCAATCCACACCTGAAGATGATCTTGGATAAGATTGAAAATAATTGTGAAATTAAAAGAAATGAAAAAAAATTACCTCGACTTCCTTAATTAAATTAATATCAACAATAAGAAGTTTATCCGAGAATTAAAGATGATTAAAATAAAATAGACCTAATAACGTTATACATATATATATATATATATATATATATATATATATATATATATATATATATATATATATATATATATATATTGAACAATAAGAAAATTAAAATTAAAAATGCTGTGTTTTTAGACGTTGTATCCACTTATTTTCATGGGACTCTAAAATCTTTCTAATGTTATCTGCTCTGAACTTTTCTATTCTCTCAATTATAGTGAATCTGGCATGGGTTTTGAAATCGTGTTTTCTAGGCGGAAATGTTGTTCTACAGGTAATAACTGTTCATAGGGAGTCGATTTAATTTGCTTACGATAATTATTAATTCTGTAGTTAAAGGGCCATTCAGATTTTCCTACATATTGTTTCTGGCATAGTGTGCATTCTGGGAGGTAAATTATGTTTTGACTTCTACAGTTAGAATCGTGGTAGATTTTGAAAGTAGATTTAGTGATTGAGCTAGTGAATGAATTCGTGTTTTTAATATGGTTGCAACATAAACTTCTTTTGTTGTTACATGGTTGGGAAAATCCTGTTGTTTTTGTTCTCAGTTTCTTACGGATTACCTTGTCACCTGAAATGTGGTTACTACCTATGATTTCTTTTTTAGGTTCTTAGGTCTACGATATGCAAGAAGGCCGGGTTCCTTAAGCAGTTTTTTAGGTCTGGTTTGAGATGTAGTATTTCCCAGCGACGTTT